CATGGGTGACCCTGCTGGTATTTAAAATACCAGTGGCATAGCTTTCAGAATCACAGCAACTCACAAGCCACCATAGTACGACAAACTGACAGACGCGTATACCTGTGGTTATAATCCCATTTGGGAATGAGTTGTCTTTGTGATGTTAATAAGACAGTATTTGTTTTGTTGTTGCTAAGGTTATGACTCATAGTCACCCTGTATGGGGGTTTCCAAGGAGCGGCTGGTGGGTTTGAACTGTCAGCCTTGTGGTTTATAGGCCAGTGCTGATCCTACAGTGCCATACAAGCAGCATTTGTGTAGGGTTACGTTTTAAGTCAATCACTGTTGAGATATAAACGAGATGAAACAAGCCGGCGTGTGGAGAAGGGGAAGAAGGGGAAGAGATGCCGTCGGGCCACATAAAGACTGCCAGTGAGCAGAAGCTCCAAAAGCGACAAGGGCCCCCTACCCGAAATCACAGAGGGAAGTGCTTCCCTCAGGGCCGGCACCCTGAATTCAGACACCTAGTCTTTGAAACTGTGAGAAAACAAATTTGCTTGTTAAACGCCCCCGCTGGGTATTTCTGTTACAACAGCACTGGATCATGAAGACAGATGTCATGAAAACTCCTTCTGGAGTCACACCGACCTGGGCTCTTGCATTAACCGTGACCCAAAATAACACACACCTACTTCCGTCAGGATTGGAGGAAGACTCATTAACAACCTGTGATATGCAGATGATACAACCTTGCTTGCTGAAAGTGAAGAGGACTTGAAACATTTACTGATAAAGATCAAAGAACACAGCCTTCGGTATGGGTTGCATCTCAATGTCAGAAAAAACAAAAATCCTCACCACTGGACCAATAAACAACATTCTTATCAACGGAGAAAAGATTGATGTTGTCAAGGACTTCATTCTTCTCGGATCAACTATCAATACTCGTGGAAGCAGCAGTCAAGAGATCAGACGATGTATTTATTGCATTGGGCAAATCTGCTGCACAGGAACTTTTTAAAGTGTTGAAGAGCAAAGATGTCAGCTTGAGGACGAAGGTGCACCTGACCCAGGCCATGGTATTTTCAATAACCTCATATAGATGAGAAAGTTGGACAGTGAATAAGGAAGATCGTAGAAGAATTGATGCCTTTGAATTGTGGTGTTGGAGGAGAATACTGAAAGTGCCATGGGCTGCCCAAAGCACCAATAGATCTATTTTGGAAGAAGTGCAGCCAGAGTGCTCCTTGGAGGCCAGGATAGCTAAACTTCATCTCTCATACTTTGGACATATTGTCCGGAGGAAACAGTCACTAGAGAAGGAGATAAGCCGGGGAAAGGGGAAGGGCAAAAAAAAAGAGGAAGACCCCCAACGAGATGGATCAGCCAGGTGGCATCATTGATGGTGTCAAGTGTGGCAGCGGTGGTGGGGTTGGCCCAGGATCAGACATTGTTTTGCTCTGCTGTGCATGGGGTCACTGTGAGTCGGTTCCGACTCGATGGCACCCGACAACAACAACAACTTCCGCCAAGTCAATTCTAACTCATAGCCATTTTTATCAAATTATGAACCCCTTTGTTCAACGCTCAGTTTTCTTTCCAAAAGGGGAACAGGAAAGCCCATAATCCCCTGCCTACAAGTCTGAAATAAAAAAGTTTTTAGCTCATTTAGTGGCAAAATCTACTATTGGCTACAAAGTGTGTGTTGAACTACCGTGAGGCCTTATTCCTGGGTCCCTGCATGAGTATTAATTACTGTGCTGGGAATATACAACATGGCTACCATATTGTCTTTGGAAAACTTGAAAACTGCTGAATTTCAAAATACATCTGACCCAAAGGTTTCTCATGTGAGGATTTCTATTGTCGCAGCTGCCTCTTAGGGATAGTATGAAGCTTAAATGAGAGTTGTTGTTGTTCAAAGGCCAGGCCCAGACTCCAAGGAGAACATGTCCAGGTGGGATGGAAGGCAATATGGGAGTGTGTGTGTGTGTGTGTAGTGACGAGGTTGGAGAAGTGGCCAGTTAGCGGGTGGGACTTGGCAGTTAGTGCTTACGGTCATTGTGTGGTGTCACGTCAGTTCTGCTTCATAGTGATCCTGTACCAGCTTCCTGAGGCTATAAATCTTTATGGGAACAGCTTGTGGTTAGAAACCCAGTATACAACCTACTACACCACTAGGGCTCTCATTAGCCATTGTTGTTGTTAAGTGCTGTTGAATCTGTTCCGACTCATAGCAACCCTGTACAGGGTTTCCCAGAAGCACCTGGTGGGATTGAATCATCCGCCTTGTGGTTCCAACTGACCTTGGGGTCCCATGCATTTTCCTGCAGAGCTATACCAGGACTTTCTCATTAGCCACTGCAGTTGTTGTTAAGTGCCATCAAATCGGTTCTGACTCATAGCAACCCTGCAGAAGGTTTCCAGGGAGTGGCTGGTGGGTTTGAACTGCTGACCTTGCGGTTTAAACTCATCTTGCAGTCCAGCAGTGCATCCTGCAGTACCACACCAGGACTCCTCTGCTAATCTTAAAACATAGGGAATGTTGTTGATGTTGTTGTTAAGTGTTGTCGAGTCGGTTCCAACCCATAGTGACCTTGTATAGGGTTTCCAAGGAGCAGCTGGTGGGTTTGAACCCCCGAACATGCAGTTCAAACTGACCTTCCTTGGGTTTCAGCGCATTATCTTGCAGCACCACACCAGGAAATGGAGAGCCATAAGAAGGAATAAGATGGGACTAATTGCCAGAAAGATTTGGAGGGAGCAAGCCTGGAAGCAGGGAGAGCTGTTAGGTACCTCACCAAAGATCCCAGAGTCTGGCAGAGACCTGCCAGGACCTTCCCATACAGAGGGTCTGGAAGTCCACTGCCCCACACACAAGCCCGGTTCTGCGCCCACTGGGGAGCTGGAACCACAACTCTGAGTGGGCTCCACAGATGTGGGAAGCCTGTTGGATGCTGGAAAGAGGTTGAGGTGAGGATTTGGGAGGATGGGGGGCGTGGGGGGAAATGCCTCAAATCAGGACTCAGAAAAAGCAAGTTGGTGTCGTGATTCCATCTTTTCCTTCAAGTGCTAAGGGGCACTGGTGACGCAGCGGATTAAGCCGGTTCAAACCCACCAGCTGCTCTGCAGGAGAAAGACGAGGATGGCTGCAAAGCTTTAGTCTCAGAAATTCTTGGGAGCTGTTCGACTCTGTCCTACAGGGTCGCTGAGTCAGAATGGACAGAAGTGGGTCTGGTTTTTCACGAGACAGTGAGCGTGGTGCAGTTGAATCCACCTCACTGAACCTGTCTCCTCCCCCGCAAAATGGTAACAACGCTGCTGATCTATCGGGTGGAACGCAAACGGAACGTGCCGGGCGGGTGTTAAACTGCTTTCCAGCTGAAGCCGAGAAGTCCGTTTTGACTCATATCTATTCAGAAGGTAACGTTGCCCGGTCCTGCGCCATTCTCACAATCCTATGGGTTGTTTTAGCATATTGCTGCAGCCCACAGCGAGGTTATTCCATTTCAGCGGGACTACAGTTCATGTATCAAGAAGCGACACAGCTCCTTTCCTTCTGCGTAACAACGCGTTTGATCGTATTTGGCTGCTACAGAGCGCCGTAAATTCGTTACAAATGTAACACCTTCCTCCTCCCTCCCTTCCGCCTGTGACTCTGCGGCTTGTCACTACGTTTGAGCCTAGTCACTCTTCGTAGAATCTCGAATTCCTGTCTTCCAAGCTGACGTCCAGGTCGGAAGGCTAGCTAAACCTTGAAGAGCATGCGTGGAAAGGGCAGGCGGACCCGCCCCTCGCCCTGACGTCCGCGTCGGGCGCGCGCTCACATGCCGGAAGGGGCGGGGACACACTGACTTTATATATCAAGCTCCGACTATCGGCCGACCTCTGCCGGCGTGTTTCGACGACGGAATGGTATGTACTGTAATGGCGTCTTTCGGCGGCTGCGGCAACGCCCGCCTGAATCCGGGCGCATCGCCGCCATCTCAACTCGTCAGAAACCTGGGCCCAGCGTTAGAAGCTCAGGGAACTTAGCAAGATCCGAAGCTATCCCTATTTTATGATAAGGATCGAGGCCCAGGAGACGGCCGCGTGGAAGATAAGCCACGAGCCTGCGGCCTGATGTTACAGATCCGGCCGCACACTCTGTTTGACTTTAGATTACGATCCGCGTACACTTTGTTCCTACCGGGAGCATTCCGAGCTGGGCAGGCTAGGCTGGACTGAGGGTAAAGCAGGAAGCTGGGAGGGAGCTTTGAATCGGTGAAAAGCCTCTGGAATTCTCAGAAGCCGCAAATGATGAGCCTATTGACGGGCGGACAGAAATTCTGTGCTGATTGTCAATGTCCTGATCTGGCTCTGCCGAATTCTAGGGGGCCTGTCTTTACTCCTGAAGGGAGACATTAAATATGACCTATCAGGAGTCGTGGTGTGGCATTGTGGGCTAATGCGTCAGACTGTAGTCATTTGAACTGCAAGGTTGGTGGTTCAAGCTCAGCAGCTGCTACTTGGAAACCCTATACAGGGTGGCTATGAGTCGGAACCGACTCCACGGCACTTCACGTCAGCTGTTAAGCCATCTGTACTATCTGTAAACCCAGCAAATGGATCGATAAAGGGAAAGGCGATTCTTTCCCTTAAATAGCAGCACGGGGTTTGCACAGAATGCAGCTTTGCAAATGTGACTGGTGCCGGTGTTCGTATTGCAGCTGAGTGTGGGGCCTAGGACTAATGTTGCTCCTTTTCTCCCAGTCTCACAGGAAATTCTCGGCTCCCAGGCACGGCTCCCTGGGCTTCCTGCCTCGGAAGCGCAGCAGCCGGCATCGCGGGAAGGTGAAGAGCTTCCCCAAGGATGACGCCTCCAAGCCTGTCCACCTTACAGCCTTCCTGGGCTACAAGGCCGGCATGACCCACATCGTGCGC